CCCAATGTATTGAAAGATCTGACCTTAGGCTTCGTCGATCTGCTGATGCTTTCCAACACGTTCTTTCAGCAACCCATATCCATTATTCCAAAGATCCAAACACCATATTGCTGGATATCCGGCTCGAAGGACCAAATGTCGTTGAATGATTAAGTGGACTGTATTTTTGTATTATTTTCTTCTTCGTGCGCGTCCCTATCTGAGATGGCACGCCCAACACCGACTTAAGTGCATGAATGCACCCAACCGACGAATTAAAACCCGATTGTCTGCAAAATTAAAATGTATATTGCTCAGAACGTTATTTCTACACACGTCTTGTTTGTTTTTGTTTTTTCAACTACCTTAGTTGCTAGAAACAAATACAACTTAAAATAAAAAACTAATTGTCACATCGCCCCCTAGACTAACTTATGTGGTTGGCAGGAGAGACAAATACATCTTATTTACTCATTTCCCAACAAATGCACATCTTCCAAACTAATGCATTTATCAAATGGAAATTTTCACCGCCTGTGGTCGATTGAAGACTCGACCAACACTAAAAGTTTAATGGCAATGGCTAAAAAATTCAGGTCTTCCACACTAAAGCAAGTAGCAATTTAGAATTTCTTCATTGTTAGAGGATACTTAACTAAAAAGACTCTAAAAGCTTCAGAAAAATCGGTCAACATCCAGCTCGAAAAATATCCGTCTGAAAATGGGAATTTCGGCTCAACTGCGTTCCCTCGATAAAAAATTCGGATATTATGAACTAGCGCATGTGGTGATTTGAAATTACTTCAATTGTTAGAAGGCACATAAGCCGAAATACTAGGGAAGTTTAATAAAAATCGCCCAAAATCCAGATTTTCAATCAAGATTCCAGAAGCTTCGATTCAACAGCGCTTTTTTCTCTAAAAGCTTCAACTGCAAGTTGAAGGTAAAATCGGGATCGCTGACGAATAAACTTAAATTTTTTTGTTACTTTCATTTAATTTACAATAATTGAGGTTTATCGGCTGTAAGCTAATCCAAATAAATATAAACAAAAATATAACGAATATTTCCATTTATTACTAATTTCCTTCACAAAAAAATTTGAATAAAAGAACTCAAAAAATTATAAGAAAATTCATGGAAAATCACCCAGGAACCATACCTACATGGATTATATTTGGACAAATAAGTCGAAAACGTATACAGATACTAAAAGACTGCAAATATTCCGCAATTGATTTCAATGTTTCATCTCTTAACAACTTTTCCATTGTAAAAGTTTTACTGCAAGAAATGAGCATGTTGCGATACACCTTTAATTTGCCCTGTCGATAGGAAACACGTATTTCCGACATGTTGTGCAACATTGTGCGATACAAAAGTAACCAGTGGACCTCAAAAAGTCCTAAGTAGTACCTCAAAAAGAACAACGCAAATTTTGAATCACCCTTCATGAGTGAAGAAGTTGACCTCAATTAAAATAGCAACTTTATTATGCAGTTAAAATCGCAAAATTTTTCAATTGGCTGGTCTCCACACATGCAACTTGATGGAATAAAGGAGTTGTAGTAATTACAAAATTTTTAGCATTACATTAAAGTTTTTCTCTCTAGCCCAGACACTTCTATTCATCACAGACGACCATTCTGCGACAATCCGCCCACTCCTTCGAAATGGCCACAGCTTTGGGCTCTCTCTT